TAACATTATAGTTGTTAGTTTATTTGTAGCTTATTTGAATCAGTCATCCTGTGAAATCAGTGTGCTTGGAGTGCAGCTATTTATTGAAAAGGGTAGTGACTTTCATTTTGAAATTGCAGTGGCTTTACATTAAGGTAATTCCATTTCATAGGTTTGAAATTACAGTCATTATGGAGGAATCAAAATGTTGCTGACTCCAAATTTTACATAAAGTATGTTACATTTCCAGGACCAAGCTGCCTTTTATTGCTAACAGTGATCAACAAATGTTTGAATTAGATTACATGTAGTTGACAAATTAAAAATAAGACAAATTTCTACATGTAAGCCACCCAGGAAGGTTATAATCACAAATTTATTTCTGCGTTTATGCTAAATCTTGCTTTAAAGGGTTGAAAGGTTGTTACCTGTAGGTCATGGGTCCTGTTACAAATATAGTTGATCAAGTTTGATCAGTAGTGGTGTAATTATCAGTCAGTTGGAGTAGGTACAGTTTAGATCAATGCTGGTGTTTACAGTCTTTTTTGCAGTAGATACATCTATAAAGCAAGCAGTTAGTGGTTCACCCGCTCTGAGCTTCTTTATTCTGTACAAGAGAAAAATACCATTAAACGGAACTGAACAAAGTGCAACATTGTCCACTGCAGATGCCAGATTCAGTTTAACTAGTTGCAAGTTGTTGCTTGGATGTTCCATTATGGTGCTTGTATTTTATCATCAGAATAAAGGTCCCACTTGTGACTCAGTTCTTAGTAGAGCAAAAAGAGAATTATATGCCCCAGTAACTGGTAGGGGAAACTACTTTTGAAGTTAGGCCATATTTCTGTTTACAATGGTCCAGATTGACCACTGATAACCAAATGCTGTCCCCAGTCTTGCTAAACCCAGAATCTAACTGTAAAAGTGCTGTAAGGCGCATGTAATTGGACAACTCAACAAAATAATTGTACAGGTGTCTCTACCATAAAAAACTTTATTATGCAATCTGCTCAAGTGTCTAGTCTGTGTAGTGTCACCCCTGGTGGGGAAAAAAAGATGAAAACTGAAAGCAGTATGGAAGAAGTAGGACTTAAGTAATTCAGTCTAAGCTAAGAATGCAGATCCTGGTTTATGTAGAAAATGCTCTCAGTAGTCACTGATTTTATTCTGGATGGTTCAGACCCAGTAGAATGAAAATAATTGAGAAGGAACAGGAGTTAAAGCATCCCATAGGCTCAGTGTAACCAATGTGTGATCTCTTTGCTTGCTTTCAACAGTGTTTTATAGTCTAGTTCTATTAAGAAGCAGAATTTAGCTCTAATCTGCTTTAGATTTGATGGCATTGTATGGCTATTTGACACAGTGTTGGTGGTATAGATTGAGGCTTGAGGTAAATCCATCAGAAATTCATGGTAGTGTAATTTATCTCCTTGTGGGAGTATCTTAGACCAGAGTGAAGGGACCATGACAAAAAGAACAATGGGGAAGAGGAGTGGTACGACACCACCATTGAGGCTAAGGTAATTTATTTTCAAGGTCTGATTGAGCAAGTACTCTTCTGTCACTTGAACTGTTGAATTGTACATCTATATGTTGTCTGCTTGTTTGCTTCATTCAGTGTAATTCAAATAGTACCAGTAAGCATTGTGGCACTGTTAAGCCTGAATAAGCACACCAGGACAATTGAGTACAGCTACGTGTATCTTGCCAGATGAAGTGTTGGTAGAGAAGATGACTAGACATCATACATTTTCACCATATCAAGGCTATCAGACCTTAAGAGCGGGAATTATCACTGTCCGAGTAGTTCTTGATCCTAATCCGGCATTGATCCATCACTTACAACAGGAAATTCAGTCACACAGATGGATGAAAGGTCAGCTGGAAACTTAATTCAGAGGTTCCTCAAAATTAATGCCAAATTAGATGTGCATGAAATACTACACTGTATTTGGCTACAATTTTGTGAGTTTTGTTCAGAACCTTCAAAATTAAAAGTATAGAGATCTGTAATATGTGGTGTAACAACCAACAGTGGGTGTCATTATTCGTCCTTTACCTGTACCGGTTCATGATCAAGAGCCAAATTGTCACTGGTCCATTTACCATGATGTGTATATTGTTATACATTTTGCTGTTAGTCAGGTGTGTATGTATGTGAATCTATGGGGGAAACATACCTTGCAGATACCTTGCAGAAAATAAGGCGAAAGGGAAACCAGCATTGCCCCTCCCCCATTTGATGCATTGTAAGCTGTACATGCATATCCTATGCTTTTGTACCTACTGTATCCCCCTGAAAATATAAAAGGAATTCCCAAGATTCATACAACATAAAAGAGGACATAAAAGAAGACAGCCTTTGCCTTATATTGAGCAACACATGGTAGCAACATGTTGCAAGGCTTACTTATATGAAGTTGACAGTCTTCAACACATGAGGTTTAAAAAACAATCTTTTGTTGTGAACAGTCCTCAAGTTTACTGTACATGTATCTGCTCAGGTTGCACTGAGCATAGTGTTACTATAGAGTACTGAAGTATGATGTCATTTTGAAAGAGGAAGTGTGCAAATGAATGGAGAACGCACATCACATGCTGGTTATCTCGCCAGTGTCTTTCACACACGTACTTGTGCGTGCGATGTATTCACTTCAGTACTCTGTATTAAACAATTTTTTTTTTAAATTATTATTATTCTAAGTAGTAGTAGTTTTATTTCAACAGGGTAGCCTGGGTAGTCATTTTAACACTGCTATTCTTAAGGGCCCTAATCACAAGTACAATTAAATTACAGTAAAAACACATACAGTACACTAAAGATTAAAATATACAGACAACTTAAATAAGAATATAGAAACCATCAATATAGCGTAAAATCCAAAAAAAAAATTAAAAATCCTAAATGAGTAAATGAAAACAAATTAGATCATACAATGGAATCGATGTTATAAAAATAGTTCTAGCAACACAATTAACGGTATGAGTATTATCACAAACACCACTAAACATAGCACACACAAAATGTGCCCTGTCCTGTAACTTTCTAAAGCCATAGCTGGTTTGGTGGCACAGAATTAGTGGTTAGCGGTACATGTACATGTATGTGCAGTCTGTGTAAAAAACACATCCTTTTCGTGCAACAAAAAAAGCTCAGAGAAATGTATCTAGCCGTGTAGTAGAAATACATTAACATGTAGCTCTGACTGGTACACGTCATGCTTTGCATGGGGGGGATCACTGATGAGAGCCAGTTATGCTCATTGTCCATGTTTGCAAGGTTATTTAGGTCAAAATACATGTATATTTCACGTGTAATCTCAGTTGCTACAACTTCTTACAAAATGTTTTGCCAGTGTGTCTGAAAATCAACATAAGCATTAAAATCTTCTCAGTTGATTTTCCTTGGGGTATGCATGCAGACTAATTATATAAGAAATCTTGCTTTGTTGTCAACTTAGTCAATTTTAACAATCTGCTTGTGAGACAACATACTTCAAATTATACATTGTACTTCCTAAAAACATGACTTTGCGCAAGCAGACTTCCAGGGAATAGAGAATAGACAAAAGTTAAACAGGAACTTGGCCTCACAGGGCACACACCTTATGGAGCTCCTCAATCTTGTGGATGCTGTGCCATTAGTTAACCGGTGGGAGGTATGGCCTTCACTTCCAAAAGTGCCCTTTTTTCTCCATATTTCACTTAAATGAGAAAGGCAGGAGGTTACCCTGCAAAGCGTTGGTGTTCCCCCAGCAGGATGTTCCCAAAATAGAATTTTTTTTCCCTTTGTGGCTGGCCATCTCTCTCATGCAACCACAACTTCCACAAGCAAGGGGAATAACTCAGCCAGTGGTCTTTGAATTTTTAACTACTGTACATGTACCCTGTCACTGTTGACAGGGTGCAATGATGCAGTGCTGTCTCCAGTATACATGTACCAAACATTCCCATCATCAACCAAATGTACAAATAACTTTTTGCCACCTCAAATTTTCTATTAAATACACACACACAAAGGGACTATAACCTATTTACTTCAGATTTAGATTGGGACACACGTGTCTCTACAGCTTAGTGTTAGAAACACAACCATTTGCCCCTTTTTGTGCAGTTAAAGAGCACGAAAACTGACAGAAACAGAATCCATTTTTTTCCTCTGAGCCATTTATGTTAATAGTTACCAAAAGAAGAAGCTTGACCCAAGAAGAGTCATTGAAGATTGAGTCACAGCCACCATACATGTATATCATAGGAAGTGGCAATCTTACAGTATGAACGATTTCTCAACAATTTTGGCAAGCAGGGCAGAACATTTAAATTTATCAGACGATGTGTGACAGTCAAGAGCATGGTCCCAAGATATGAGTACTTTTGGTGCTCCTTCAGCATGTCTAAAATGATTATTAAATAAATAAAAATGTACATGTACATTTATACCAGTATTGATAGAGCAGGCTTCCATGAACAGTGACCAACAGCCTGTAATACTGATCAATGTACACAACTTCAACAAGCATAATACAGCATATACAACTTGACCAGGTCAGCAATCAACTACAGCTAACATGTGTAAAATATGTTGGGCATTAAGTAACAAATATTCAGATACTATTACTAACTTATTAAAAAATGGACAGCACTATTGGCATGGACGGAGATTCCTTGTCATATGGGGGATGGTATTAGCATGGCACATAGTCAGTGACTTAAGGGGGGGTTAATTGATAATCCCCCAGGTCAAAAAGTGCCCATGACTATTGGACCGACTTTTGATCAAAATTACCCAAATCTGTTCGTACCCTGCACAAAGATTGCAGGATTTGTTTTATTTCTGTGTTTTTTTTGTGGGTGACTGGGTGTCCTCTTTCATTCATGACGCATGCAGCCTATACAAAAACAACAACCCAGTTGTTAAGGCAAGGGTGGACCTGAGATAACTAGTCAGTAGGCCTATGTAGCATGCTCATTGGTTGAACAATCTACTTAGAAAAGGAAACTATAATTGTACATGTACTTACTTGGTCAGCTATAGTGAGTGCCCTTGCAGTCAGAAGTTGCCTTCACTGTCAGTATAATGCGCAACAGTGGATCAGGTTGTATTCTGCTTCCTGAACTCACCAATGAATAATACACAGCAGTGAGAAAGCATAGGACACATCCAGGAATTCTCATGCATGATGCACACAGATTTAATCATTTTGATCAGAATAGTAGTGTTGATATCAGTTGCTGCCTTCTTACTTCTTACTCTTGAGAAAAAATCCCATCAATTGGAGATTGCCACACACAGATCCAAACAACTTACTGCTTGTTGGAACATATCCAAATGTCCAGTTTTACTATGGTGAGAGAATAGACAAGCTGAGATGGTTTCATTGCTTTGTAGTGTACTGTTTTTCTCCCAACTAGTTTTGTGTGTACCAAGGGGCATATTCTGCAAGTTGCAATACTCCACTTCGGAACTGAATGAAAATGGGTAATCCATATCTAGTTCTGCATTAAAGATATTTTACATGTGGCATTTACATGTAGCTGATGCTGTAAGCACTTACCATTTATTGCATAGGAAGTATTAAGTGTTGTCGATAGTCAGTATGTCCAAGCTGCACCCATCCTCCATGCACTCCTATCAAAACAGTACATGTGTGTAAACTCAATGATCTACCTACATACCAGTCTTTTATTGTCAAAATTGCCTTGATCAAATTGTCTTGACATCTGCTTTAAACTGACAAACCCTCCCTGTCCACTTTAGGCAGCTTGTTTCTAACAGGTGTGTTGAAATGTTGGCTAGATATCCCCTTACATTACAGAAATTGGTTTTATTACATTTGGAATGCTGGTTCAGAGGCAGAGAGCAACTGCAATAAATTTGTCAGACCTCCATCAGATTGCCATGCCATGCCAGGACTTTTTTCTGTCCAGTATTATCTTATTATATGGGAAAGTGAAAAGTTTGGTGCTGAATTAAAGTGTGCAAGATTGTTTGAGGGGAAATTACAACTACACCCAATTGACATTCCCAAGTGAAACAATATCTGGCCTGTGGTGAATCTGTATTGGTATTCTAACTGCAGAGATAGGCTATGTACTTACCTCAGTCAAGATGTGTTGGATCAAAGGCCACCCCTGTGCCAACACAAGATCCAGTGTGCTTGTCAGGTGAATAATTCAGGAAACGGCTCATAAATGGATTCGTTACATCACTACCTGCTACAGAAAAAAGTGTTAGGTCAAACTTTTCATGAAAGCTGATTTTCTGTTCCTTTTTATGAGTAGCTCTTAACATAACTTCGCATTTAGAGTGGTACATGTATATGCTTGTTTGCTGACATTGTACCTACGAAGAATTCACTCCTCAGCATTAATTTTCATCTGAGTTAAAGATGTTTCCCAGGATATTAGATTCCTTGGCAGCCCTTAGCAAGCATATTGTTAGCATTTGTACATTTATGTGCGAGGCATATTGTTAGCATTTGTACATTTATGTGCGAGGCATATTGTTAGCATTTGTACATTTATGTGCGAGCATATTGTTAGCATTTGTACATTTA